CTCAAAAAAAAAAAAAAAATAAAAGAAATAAAAGAAGAAAGAAATATCCACTAGCTCACGTATTTGGGTGGAATATTCATGATTTTATTAATTTGTTGTAGAAATTATTTGAGCAAAACTACCACAAGTTACTAGCTCATATGTTGTAATTTTCTCTGTTGATTAACCCATTAATAAGATTCAAACTTTAGAAACCCCAACTTTTATTAGCGCAGTGGTGCGTACCTTCGCTCGGCGTGTACCATGTCCCGAGTTCGACTCACCCGGGGGGAATTGGGGAACTAGTATTGATCCCCCTTTATTTAGAGAAAAAAAAAAAAAAAAACTTTCATTCTATGTAAATAAAGAATCAACCGAGTGGAGTGCCTACATTGCGTCTGAACCGTCAGATTACACGCACACACACACACACATTTGTGTAGGTGTGTTGATCTGACGGTTCGAATCTATCGAGGCGGTTGATTGAAATTCACCGTAAACTTACTCTGACGTTGCCTTTACGATACGTTTGGCATCCGAAAAGAATGTTTGGCAATGAAAGCTGGACAAAAGAACAAAAGAACACTTTTTGACTTTCTGAGCAAATGAAAAATGAAGAGTCTGTCTGCCTCATGTACTCCATTTCAGACAGCAACCATAAAAAGCTATTATTAGCTGTAACAATATAACATGAAAATGAGTTGAGTTTAGTACATCTTTCAACTCAATTTCTTGGACCATAGGATGAAGAAAGTTAGGAGACCATTTTATGGTTCGATCAAAGTAATATTTAATATGTAGTTAGTGTACATTAAGGTAGATTAATCGTTAGGCGAGTTGACTCGTCATTATACTTTTAACAAAAAATGAATAGTTATGCTATAAAATGTCATACTTTTATTTAATTTAAGGCAAAATTGCGCCTAATATCACTACCTTTATCGAAATTGCAAATTAATCACGACTTTTGGACTTTGGCGCACAATATCATGATCTTCAATTTTTGGCAAAACGGTACATGAAATTCCTCAACTCCCCAAAAAAAATCGACGTGGCTTAAATTTGCCACCGCGGATGCTTAGCTGGCGTTGCAATACGGCGTCGTTTTAATTAATTTTTCCCACGTCAGATCAAAACGACGTCGTTTCGATATCTGAGGTGTCCTTTTTCCACCTCAGCTCGTAACGACGCCGTTTTGAGTTACATAAAAATTCTAATCGGGCCCCAAAATTCAATTGTCTCAAAATCAGATTATTATTCTCTCTCGCAGAATCCCTAATCTCTCTATCGATTCGTGCTGCAAATTCCCTAATCTCTCACATCTGTCAAAATCTGGTAATCGGGTAGTGGTCTCTGAAGACTTCATGCTGTGAAAATGGCGAGCAGGTATGCTTTAGGGTTTTTTTATTTCTTGTTAGCTCGATTGTTTGCAGTGAAATAGGGTTCTTGGTTCTTTCAGGGTTGGTGAAGCTAGAGTTGGTGATAATGATGGATTTTCTGTAGAAGAAATAGACCACCTTATAGATACTTATCATGAGGAAACCAGCACTGATGATGATTATGTTCCTGAAGATAGTAGTTCTGAATCAGATGGGCTGAGTGCAGATGAATTAGGAACAGATGATGAAGAATACTTTGAAGCAAGGAGAAAAAAAGCACAATCTACAGGCTTAAAGCAATTACCATGGATACATGTAAACGGCTTACCAATCGATTTTTGCACCTGTAGAACCGCCTACCCGGATTTCGATCGGTATTAGAGGTTAGCAATTCGGCCACCATGGATACATGTAAATTTTGATGTTGTACTCCTAGATGAGCTGGATTCGGTTGACATTTTGCCCCAAAAATTTTCTGCGAGAGATTAGGGATTCTGGGTCGATAGAGAGATTAGGGATTCTGCGAGAGAGAATAGAGATCTGATTTTGAGACAATTGAATTTTGGGGCCTGATTAGATTTTTTATGTAACTCAAAACGGCGTCGTTACGAGCTGAGGTGGAAAAAGGACACCTCAGATATCGAAACGACGTCGTTTTGATCTGACGTGGGAAAAATTAATTAAAACGACGCTGTATTGCAACGCCAGCTAAGCATCCGCGGTGGCAAATTTAAGCCACGTCGATTTTTTTTGGGGAGCTGAGGAATTTCATGTACCGTTTTGCCAAAAATTGAAGATCATGATATTGTGCGCCAAAGTCCAAAAGTCGTGATTAATTTGTAATTTCGATAAAAGTGGTGATACTAGGCGCAATTTTGCCTTAATTTAAACACTCATATTTGTTGAAGGAAAAAGTAAGAACTCTTAATTGCATAATAATAGTACGGGACAACGCGTTATCGATGCAATCAATATTGTGAAATAAGAAAAAAGTAAGACTTTTTAATTGTTCTGTTTAATGGTAAGTTTTATTAAGATGTATTCGTTTGGAATTTTGAGTGATCTTTTGAATTTTTGTAAGATTTGAGACTTATTTTCCGATTGAGGAGGAATACTGTGAAATCTTATTAATTCTAAAGATGGTATTTGAAATAAGATTTCATATATGATTTTTTCTTTATAAGTTAAATAACTCGAACTTTTATAATACTTTTTGAAATTTCAAATGGATACCTTTCGACTTTTAAAAGTCTTAAAAAATTAAGTACACTAGCATTTCTTCTGAAGTCTTGAAAATTCTTTAAAAATCTCAAACGAATACACCTCTTGAACTGTGAACTGAAATAAAAAAAAATTAAAAAATCATCTCATTTTATTTTTTTCACTACAATCTCACTAACACAACAAAAATTACATATCAATAGGGAAATCTATCATAAGTTCACTCTTTTCTAAATAAACATACCAAAAAAAAAAAAAAAATGCTATAATAACAAATGTGTACCTTCTTGTAAACGCCGTGTAGGCAAAGTAACTATAATTAAATCAAGAAGTGAGAATAATAGAACAATAGAAAGGGATATCATTTATGTAAGAACAATTGATTGAGGAAGGATAAAGGAAAAAATGTTGACAAATGACAAGACAGACATAAAACGATACACAACGATTTAAAACACGACTCGTATAATACGAAAAAAAAGGATACACAACGATTTAAAACACGACTCGTATAATACGAAAAAAAAGGTTAAATTTAGGCTTATTATCGTATTTATGATAAATTATATAAAAGCGCGACAGTGAAACACGAAAACTTCACGAAATCATGAATTGTCATCCTATCTTTCGAGTTGCATTACATGGATTTTAATCCTCGTATCAATTTTTTTTTCTTAATTCGAATTAGTCCCATTGATGTTATGTTAAATGTAGCTTCAAGTTGTATGTGAAGCACTCATAAATAAATATAAGTAAAAACATTAGCATAAAAATTCAATGTGGATAGTATAATACTTTACTCTCACATAATGTTTTGTTTAAGTAGTAAATGATATTGTATTAATTGAAAATATTGAACTTACCTGTGTAAAATTGTAACTAGTGTTGTTAAATTAAACGAGCTTGGCTTTGGCACGTTTATTTAATGAGCCGAGATCGGCTCGGATCGTTAAGAGCTCGAGCACCTTAATCTCGAGCTCGGCTTGTGTACACCTCTAATTGTAACATAGTAACAGTACTATGTTTCGAGGAAGAAAACAAGAAAGGGCATTTCACTGAATGTTGAATGCAACACAAGAGGTTTTTCAACCTCTTGTCCAACGCGCTGGGGGACGCGCCCCTCTGTTTAGGGTCCAACGCGCTGGGGGACGCGCCCCTCTGTTTCTCTCCTAAATCAGAAAAAACTAGGTTTTTCAACCTTCAATTTCGCCGCCCCCCCTCACCTTCCGGCTTGCCGCCGCGCCACTGGTATAGGAGCTCGTCGATTCGTGGCTGTGGTCATTTTCTGTCTCCTCTGGGCTTTGTGGATGTTTGGGTTGGAGAGCTCTCGCCCACGCTGGGTCTGAGTTGCTTCGTCTCCTAGCATCCCCGGCTATGGACGAGACCGCCGGCAGCTATAGTTCAGGCCAAGCCTCGTGGAGGTACAGTCCAATCGTTCCGCTGGGAGTCTTGTTGTTCATGGTTTGGGTCATTTGGTGCGGCTTATTGTCCGTTCGATCCCTCTTTCGAGCACTCCGGCGTGGCGAGTTGGGGTCCTCGCGGCAGCTCCCTCTTCTCCCCAGCGTGGATGATTTCGGAGCCCAGATCTGAACCGAAAGCAGTCTCTTCTTCAGATCCGTCTAGGCGGCCCGTGTGGTCGCAGTTTTCGGGCTTGAGGTTCTGGTGTGTGGTTTTGTTGGATCTCCTTGCTTGCGAATGTGGATCGTGTGTGGTCCCCGGTGGTTGGGCATCGAGTCTGTTATGTGTAGGGGAGGTTCTAGTTTATTTGTACATTAGGTGTGTGTTTTTTCTGATTTGCTTTGTGTTTTATTTTGGTGCTTTGGTTCGTTTAGTGCAGTTTTGTCTGCTTCCAGTGCAGCTTGTCTGCTTTTAATCTCTTTATGGAGTTTTGTTTTGTAGGTGTTTGCCTCCTAGATGGAGTTTGTACCCCTTTGTGTGTTAACAAGGAGGGTTGGTCCAGTTTTCTGGTTCCAGTGTGTCTTTTGACACTTCGGTTGTACTCTTTTGAGTTTTTCAGTTATTAATATAATTGTCGTTGGAAAAAAAAAAAAAAAACACAAGAGGTCACTTAATTTTATATGAAAACTGAATAATTACAAAAATTACTGTGGAGTTCTGACATTATATATATATATATAAAAAAATGTACAAAGAAAGCAAAATAAAATCTGACATGGTATAAAAAAAATATATTAAAACAAAGCAAAATAAAATAAGAATTAATTAACTTTTGGTACCTGGATGAACAGATTATCTATAGCTGATATTATTTTGCTTTGTCTTAATACATTTTATGTTGTATAATATCAGAACTCCACGGTAATTTTTTAAAGTTAGTTATTCTAATTTTATTTTATAAAATGTTTTATTTTCAATTATATCATATTCAAAATGAGACATTTAAGTATGAAAGAAAATATATATATATATATATATATATATATTTGTTGAAAAAAATATAACCATTTAACCATTATTATCATAGTGATCTTTTGTAATCAGACTAAAAATCATTGCATTGCTTGGCATTTTTTTCTGGAAAACCAATAATTAAGTCAATAATTAGCAACATAGTAAAATAAATCAACCCCTAATATTCTGGAAAAACTTGTGGTAATAAATTCATTCATCAAAACTAATGGTTCTTAATAGGGTTTTTGATCAAGCAATAAATCTTGAAAGCCAAACATCTGGCAACTCATTTTACCAAACAAAATTTCCTCCAATATATATAAATAGGTGCAAGAATTTGCATAATTTAAATTTCACTATAAACAAATTACACTTTTTTCTTTCCCCTTTTCATAAAATAAATATCTGTGTTTTTTAACTTATACAACACCATGAGAAAGCAAATTAGCTACATTAACAACTGGATTGAAGTCGCACCTTCGCCGTTTGTATCGCTACACAAAGCTTCGAATGCGCCAAAACTCGAGACGATATTCGAAGAGGGTTCGGAAAAAGTCGATATTGCCAGCAGCACAAAGGCCTTTTACGTACTCCCAATCGTGCTTTCGATTATTTCGTATCTGTTGATGAACAGATTATCTATAGTTTGATATCAAGTGCACAAAAAGGTGAAATTTTTCTTTCGAAAATTACAAATAGAGACATGAAGAGAGTGTACTTGTGAGATTTTCGAAAATGGGTTGTTTTGTAATTAGGCTAAAATGCCTGTAGGGTGGTTTTTCTTAATTTAATCCAATCATTTCCCCTCGAAAACTTTCCATCCCTGTCACAATGTGCACAAAGCTCTCGAAAAGTATGCATGAAAAGATGAGATTTTGCTGAGAAGATTGAAAAGGATTATTATCAAAGGGATCTACTAACATTTGCCAAATGAACGAAAACACAAGTCGAGGGGTGACCGAAAGTGAAGATAGCAAAAGAAAGAGTAAATCACGTAAAGTTCTCTTAAGGGTTAGGGGTTTTGTTACTATGAGGCAGGTAATCGTGTATTATCCAGAATTATGTTCCGTAAAGTTGTTACAAGAAATTATTTGAGCTATCATATTTCGACTAGTTTTTAAGTTTTGATTATCCGGTTTTTTTTTTTTTTTGTTCTTACTTTTTTCTTCTTTTTTTCTCGGCTGCTTTGATGTTTTATGAGTTCAATATTTATGAATAAGATTCTTTATGGTGTGCTCGTATATGAAAAACTCAATCAATACTCAAAATCTAACTCAATTTTAACTCAACGTCACTATCCTCAATATTATCAATATAATTATATAATATCTAATCATTCTTACACATCACAACAACTTTAATTTATTATTCACCCACCCACATTATTTTAACGAACCATCACTTCACACCATCTCTCTCCTACTTTTACATCAAATCAACCTTAACTATCTTATTTTAAGTATTATTATAATATAAAATTAAAATTCCACTAACAACTAACCATACTATTATTTTTTTTTTCAAAATTAACTTTGGTTAACAAAAAAAAAACTTGATGTATTTGTATACATTCACTAAAGAGCATGAAATTATGATCAGCACTTGTCTGTCAAATAAAAAGCCAATTCAAAACCTGATAATCGCAAATGTATCAAAACATGCTTGTAAGGAAAAAAAAAAAAGAATATCGGAAGGCAATTGTATTACCTTCAACCGGACAAACACACGGGTTTCTAATTCCATGATAAGTTAGTTGTATCTCCATACGGCCTGGAAAGGAATAGCAAAAGAAAATTTTTAGTTTTTTTGTTAGGAAGATTTTGATTGTTCAATACAATTTCCAATAATTTACTTTTGATTGTTTAAAAAAACATAGCTTCAATAAATCATTAAAATGCAAAAAGGGAAAAGAAGAAAGAAGAAGAAGAAGAAGAAAAAGTTGTATCTTTTCTGATATATTTCGACATTTTTACCTCGGATTTTTAATATGCAGCAACATGAAGAGCAAGGCAATAAGTAAAAAGAAAGTGCCGATAGAAATGTAGGCCATCCCCAGGAAATTATTATGTCCTCCCAACCAAGTCGATGTAGAGAGCACGAGCTTTTTGGCCCCACTAAAACTGTAGGTGTTGTAGTTGTTCGAAAGCTCGACTGAAATAATATCATTCGTATCTAAATCCTCTTCGAGTCTTCCGTACAATTTACGGAATGTTGGGAGAGCGGAAGTACGCATCCACACAATAAGATCCTCTTGATCACTCAGCTAATTGATGTAGATATTCAAATACCAAAAAAAAAAAAAAAA